TCTCATATATACATTTGCAAATATACATTCTCATAAGTACTGTTGATATTTATATGTTATCCTTTAACATTGATCACAATTCATTAAAAAAAATCAAAAATATAATCAGGATCACTTTTCTGCCACCTTGTACGTATGTCCATCTTATTTTACAACAACCCTACTACTTCTTCTGTCCTCCCGTCCTCCCTTCTCTCCCTTCTTTCCGCCGCTCCTGTCTCTTTTCCTCTTCCCCTCCCTCTCCCTCACTCCTCCTTTCTTCTTCCCCTTCCCACCCTCTCTCCTACTCTTACTACCCCTCCCTTACTTCCTCTCCTTTCCCTTCTTTTCCCTCCTCTCTTATTTTCCTTCCTGCCCTCTCTCCTATTCTTACTACCCCTCCCTTACTTCCTCTCCTTTCCACTTCCTTCTTCCCCTCTCCTTTCTCCCTCCTTCGGTTGTTGTATTTACTTATTTTCTTCTTCACTCTGGTGGATTTTCGGGGTGGGATTCGAGCAAACCCAGTTCTATATTTACATAAAAATAGATTCCCTCTTCCACATTTTATTTCCATTATAATAATTCCACATATGTCACCTTTTAACTGTATATCAATACTTTTCTGTTTTTCCCTTCCCCTCCCCTTAGTTTAATAGTGTTTCATCTGGGTTTCTTGATCTGTAATCCTTTATTCATATTCCTTTTCTAACCAATCATAAAATCGCCCCCTTGTCCTGAAGTACACTGATTCTTCTTTGTCTTTTATTCTCAGAATTAACTTTATCATTTCCACACAGTCCAATATTTTCTTTATTATCTCTTCTTCTGACGGGATTTTGTCTGTTTTCCAGTTCTGTGCAAATACAATTCTAGCCGCTGTTGTTATATGTATGATCAAATATGTATCTTCTTTACTATATTTCTCTGGTAAGATAACCAATAAAAATACAACAGTTGGCAATTCCTGAAGTTTTCATTAGAGAAGAATTGTTTGTAGCTCAGAGTTGAATTTTCCTTTCTTTTCCTCCTCAGATGTAAAAGCTGGAGGCCTCCTGAGAACGGAATGGCTTGAAAATCTTCTCTGGGCCTCCCGGTACAGCTCCTTCATACCACAGGACTGAAAAGACATCTGGAGGCTCAGGATATCAGCAGGGACCTTCTGGATCCCTGTCAGAGAAAAGGCCAAAATGGATGCAATCCACCCAGCTTGTAAAGGAGTGGGGAAAGGCCCTGTTGCCGCTCAGCCCAGAAATTTTGGGGACGTCTGGGCAGGACCCAGGCAGAAGATCCCAGAGAAGGCAGCCCTCAGTTCTGAGATCCAGCATTGGCACTTCAGGAACAGCCTCTTTCAGGAGACCAAAGGTCCACGAGAGCTTTGCAGCCGCCTTCACCACCTTTGCTGGGGATGGTTGCAGCCGGAGAAGCACACCAAGGCTCAGATGTTGGACCGAGTGATCTTGGAACAGTTTCTGGCCGTCCTGCCCAGGGAGATGCAGCGCTGGGTGCGGGAATGCCGAGCGGAGACCACTTGCCAGGCGGTGGCCCTGGCCGAAGGTTTCCTGCTGAGCCAAGCAGAGGAGAAGGAGGAGCAGGAAGGGTATCAGGTGGGACATGCTCCTCTTGGGAAATAGAGATGCATTTTAATTGGCTTGAATTCGAAATTGTCTCTTTAAGGGAGTTTGGGGTATTAATAATACAACCAGATATTTAGAGAAGATAATTAAGAAAAATGTTTCCAGAGGAAACATTTGGAGCAATTCTTCCATTATCCTCTTTTATCCTTAATGATGGACACTGAGGACATGCAATACTATGGGCACAAAATGAAAATCCAGATCCTCTTTTATCTCCTGCCCTCTTAATTCTTCTTCGCAAATATTTCAGGTTCTAAGGTCCGTCCTGGAGGTGGGGACTAATTGTCCTGAAGAAAAGGTGGATCCCACAAACCCTACTCGGAAGTTGTGTTTCGGAGGGATCTCTAAGGAGAAAAATCAATGTCAAGATGTCTCAATAGGTAAGGCAACGTTCTACATGTTTGGAGGTTTTCCAGAGAGCTTCTAGATCAGTGATGGTGAACCTTTTTTGGCTCCTGTGCCAAAAGCGGGGGGGGGGGGGGGGGCAGCACAGGGGGGTCATGCGTGGGCATGCCACACCCATAATGCAATGCGTGACCCTCAGCGTGCATGTGTGTGTGACCAGTGCGACCCCCCCCCCCATTTTTTGCATGCCTTTTTCACCCTCCCCAGGCTCCAGAGGCTTTATAGGAGC